TACATAAATTAAATTGATTTGCAGGCATATTTTTTTGTTTTTGTTTTTGTATTGTTTTTCACTGATAAACTTTACATGTATAAAGCATATATATACATACATTTTAATGACAGTTTTTAGGGATCAGTTATTGTCTATACCATTACCATTACTAACATGTTTATCATAAGATTATTATATATTGTTCAGTACAATACTGCATTATATTGGACTCTTACACAGCTGTAAAACCTAGTGCATAGTCCAATATAGGTTTTTGTATGAGTCCAATTGAATCAGTATTATACTCAATGTTTAAACCTCTTTATTCCACACTAACAATCTTTAATATTTTGACATTACTTCATTAAATACAACATGATTTTGATATGGAATTTTTGGACTCACAAAATGATAACGAGGCTGGATGGAGTACAGCATGAATTTGATATGGAATTTTTGGACTCTAAAATGAAATATGGCTACATTGATCCAACAATGATTCATATAGTAAGATCACATGATGCAAAGGCTGGAAATTTACTTTAACATGCCATAAGGTGTGAAATACAGCTGAATATAACCTTATTAAAGTTAATTTGATACAATATGTATCTATGTGAACTATATATGTAGTAGTTTACATTGTGATGAATTTTTATATTATACATAAAAATAAGTACAATATATGGGAATTGTAGTAAATGTTAATATGTTTTGTTATGTTATACATGTAAAATGAATACAATATTTGGGTTGTAAATGTAATTGTATTTTTTTGATATTATATATGGGAAGTAGATATTATTGTATACTTTTTACATTAATGATTATACATATAAAATGAATACAATGTATGGGTAGTAAATAATGTCATTGTGTATTTTTATATTTTACATATATTTAGTGAATACAGTATATAGGTAGTTTACATAAATATGTCCCTAATTATTTTATTTGATATACATTTTTTTAGACAAACTGTTGAAAATTTTTGTTTATATGTTCATAAATAATGATATTATTTTCAAATCAACAAGTATTGTCAAATTCATAGGGCCAACATTTTCAAATCATGGGGCCAACATTTTCAAACCGTGGTGCCAGCATTTTCAAACCATGGTTCCAGCATTTTCAAACCATGTGGCCAACATTTTCAAACCATGGGGCTAACATTTTCAAACCATTGGCCCAGCATAAAGTTGATAATTCATCCTGTCCTTAATTTTATTTACTGTTCTTCATAACATCGTTATTTTTTAACTTATATATCATAGATACCTGATTTATTGGAACCTATATGAAACATGGTCTTTTGGCAGCATTTTAGATTGATTAGATCAAAGTCAAGGTTACTTCCATTCGGCTAAAAGAGATTCCTCCTAATTCCCCTCATAGAGTAAGCCACGATTTTATTAGAGTGTCATCTTGGAAGGTTATTCAGTATTTAGAGAAGTCAAAGGATAGTACAACAGGAGAATTTCCTGGGGTGGATACTTTGTTAGTCCCCATCAGGTTTCATTGGAGGGAACTGTGAGTTAAGTTACCTCCTTTTCCATTCATCTTTGCTTCATTGCCATAAATCAAAATGTGCATTAGCTAGGCTGGTGATGTATTTGGCCAGTCAATAAAGGACAATGTGCGGATAATGCACAGAATTTTATTTTTATTCTTCATACAACTGATAATGAGTAAAAATGTGGTTACCCGTCACAGGGATCCTGTGATAAACTTAATGTATAAAAGCTAGGGCCTCATGTATATTAAAAAAAGACTGAAGAAAAATTCTTTAAAGTTAATTTCTACATTTAAATGGGTTGGAGGTAAGGAATCATCAGATAACATTATACAGGTTGTGTGGACTGCTGCACTAGTATCTGTAACATGCTTGTGTTCTATAATTTCATGTATTTTTAGTTTTTCTTTTAGTTGTAATTTTGTACATGTATATAGAGGTGTTTTTTGTGTCACCTGCTACAGAGTAATTTGTAAATGTTTCTTTACTCTTGTGACTCTCTTTCATAGTAACCATGCCCATTTGTTGTAAGTCAGAGATCATGGTTCCTTTACTGGGTTCAGTGTTTGGGGACATTTGTCCATTTTTCAACTACAAGTTCTTGTTTTTTGTAAAACAATTTTTAATAAAACATTTTCATGAGATTGGATTATATTTGGGACCATTTTGACAAAAGTGATTGATTTATTAATACATGTAAATGTACCTGTAAAATGAGATTTTTATATTTAATGCTCATCTTAATAAGTGCTGCTTATAAAATGTATTTTGGTAGAGGTGTTTTATTTACATAATAAACTCTATGTTATATTTATGTTTTGTTTTTACTTTTCCTATATGGAAAATCGAAACAAATGCGTAAGCCTCGTTTAATTAAGATGTTACTTATTTACTTAACTGACTATGTTGCCAGAATGAAAAAAAAATGTATTTTTTGGACCCCTGTTTCAACTAAAGCTGTTACTCGCTGAATAGAATTATAGATAAAAGCCTTTAATGTGTAGGGACTTATAGAACAGCTATAAGTGTAAAGATAATCTGTTCTATATCTTGAATTTAGCAGATACCAGGTTGGTCTTGAAACTGCAGATCTAAAAAGGCAACACACTAATAGGAAAAACATAAACTTCAAAACAGACTTCTAGTTTCAAATTGTAGGTTCGAATCTAATTGAAACATTATAGTATATATTATAATCATTTCTGATTTTTTTATTATATTTATTTAACTTTTATGCATACCAATCACCCATTGTACGACAGTATACAATTATACAGTGTACATTATACAGTATACAATTATCGAAAACATTACATATACATATATACGTATATCAAAGTTATGATATTTTTAAAGAAAAAACTTTGTATGCGAAATTAAATAAACGAGTCGTCCGCTAATGCTTCATATAGTTAAAAATAAAGGCATCTTGAAAAATTATGTCGAGGATTCAAACTTGAATCTTCCCAATTGCAATGCTATCATACTTACCACAAGGCCATCGGGGCGTTAGTATAAAATTAAGTATCAAGAACTTTTCTATCATTTAAAGTCAATAAGTAAATCGTATTAATTTACGGAAACTAAAGAAAAAGCTTCCGAAATTAAATAATCTCTATATATACGAGGATTGATCAAAAGTTCTTGGCCCGAGGTACTTCCGGTTGTCACAAAACCCAACTAATGGTCTTACTTTTCTATATAATCGCCCTCTTCATCAATGCACTTTGCCCACATGTGCTCCAATTCGTTTAACCCTTCAAAAAAGAACTCTCTATTTTGGTTCTCCAAGAACTCATTGGCCGCCTCCGTGACACCTTCATTGCTTCCGAAACGTCTACTACGTAGCTTGGTTTTCAGTTTTTGAAACAGGTAGAAATCAGAAGGGGACAAGTCCGGAGAATATGGAGGATAGGGAAGAATTCAGTTGCAGCAGCCATTGCAACTTGGGATATATGAGCTAGCTCATTGTTGTGCAAGGGCAGAACGCCTTTAGTCAGTGTGACCCTCCTTTTACACGCGAGTTCTTTACGCAGACGTCTCGATTCGTCTCAATAGTACCTACCGTTTATGGTACGACCTTGCTCAAGATAGTCAATCATGATTATCCCCTGACTATCCAAAAAAAATGGAAGCCATCATCTTCCCTCTTGAATTTCTTCGGAGGGAGTGAGCCAGCATGTTTCCACTGCATGCTCTGTTTTTGGATTCTGGATCCATGTTTCATCCTGAGTTATGATCAGGTAGATAAAATCAGGTTCACTCTCATAGCAAGACAAAAGATATCTTGAAATGTCATGTCTGGTCCGTTTCTGGTCGTCCGTCAACTGTCTGGGGGCCAATCTAGCGGAAACATTTGACATGACATAGACATCAGCCAGAATTGCCCAGAATTAGCTGAACTGAATCAAAGCTTATACCAACTTCCCTAGCAATGCTTCGCAGGTCTCGCCTTCTGTCGCACTTGACCAAATCGTGCAAAGCTTCGGCAATTTCATCGTTGGTGGCCTTTTTTGGCCGCTCATACAGCTCATCATCTCTAATGCTCTCCATGCCCCTCTTAAATTCAGCAGCCCATTTTTATGCCCCCACAGAGTGGGAGCATATAGAGTTGCACTTGTCCGTCCGTACGTACGTCTGTCCGTCCGTACGTACGTCTGTCCGTCCGTACGTCTGTCCGTCCGTCGTCTGTCCGTACGTCCCGAAATCTTGTGAACGCAACTCCTCTTAAACCGAATGGTAGATTTTGCTTAAACTTCCAGGGATGAACAACCTTAATGGTAGATGGTAGTAAAGGAAGGAATTTTTGCTGCGACCAAATTTAACAGAATTATGGCCCTTTGTTGATTTTTTCACTATATACCATATAGAAATTTTGTGAACGCAACTCCTCTTAAACCGGATGACAGATGTTGCTTAAACTTCCAGGGATGAACAACCTTAATGTGTAGATGGTAGTTAAGGAAGGAATTTTTACTGCCACCAAATTTAACAGAATTATGGCCCTTTGTTGATTTTTTCACTATATACCATATAGAAATTTTGTGAACGCAACTCCTCTTTAACCGGATGGCAGATTTTGCTTAAACTTTCAGGGATGCACAACCTTAATGTGTAGATGGTAGTAAAGGAAGGAATTTTTGCTGGGACCAAATTTAACAGAATTATGGCCCTTTGTTGATTTTTTCACGATATACCATATAAATGTTGTCAGTGGGGGCATCCGTGTCCTTTGGACACAGTTCTAGTTTCACAGTGCTATAGGAAGGGGACTCCTTCACAAGTGTATCCATGACGTCGTCGTGGATTTATTTGGAGGACATCCCTTTCTTACAGAGGTACATAATGACGGCTCTGATGTCAACTGTTTCCATTTTGTTTAAATAGCTATCCCTCTACTGATCAAAGTGTGTTTTTATGTTACTTAATCTATGTAAAACTGCATGTAACTCGGCCAGAATCTTCAATAAGATATCGGTATCGACGTATCGTGTGTAAATGTCAGTGTAGAGGCTACAAGTATATCGGGCCAAGAATCTTTTGATCATACCTCGTAGATTTTATAAAATAAGGAATGTCATGTATACAGTGTTGAATGGTAATATTACATTACATTTACTAAGTGTAGGACTATCAGATAGTAACAAGTGACACATCATGACTAGATCTCAATTTTATTTATTCATACAACATGTACAATAATATAGGTATTTAATTTTGGTATGTCACTAACTTGGCAAAAAGTGTTAACTATTTAAAACAAAAATGAAAGAAATCAACTGTAATAGCAGGAAATATATACAGCTCATTTCATGTACAATTTTGTGTATAAAAATCAGGCATACTTTTTCATTATTGTATTTTAAATCACTTTATACAGTAAAGTATAGGCATAATTATTGTACATCATACAACAGGTTAAAAGTCTTGATGTTAATGAATATATGCATTAACATGTTATTTCAAGATTCCAATGTGCCATATTAATGTTCATGCAATATCAAGTTGTTATGGTTATAAGGAGCCTATTCAACTACTTTGAATCTGAAGTCTTTGTGTAAGAGTTACATTTTTATTCTCATGGCACATTAGACACTTATACTGTCATACATTCCCACAATGTATTGTTAATCTGCAACTATTCAGTTCTTGTTGTTTTACATGGCTTATATAACTATGAAGATTATCAATTTTGTGAGTTCACTTTATTACTGATGGACATTCTCTCGCCCACACAGATACTTATATAACTTTTCTGGTAGTGGTTAAAAGCATTTACCTTGAATGTTTTTTGAAGGGTAAGAATATATAATTAAATTAAAGAGAGAAATTGTTGTTATTGTAAATGTGACTGTGAATGTGATGTAATATTTTATTAAAGTGTCACATTAAAAAAACCTTTATTTTACTATTTTGATTCATTCCAACAAATAATCTCTTGGTATTTTGGCAATAAGCAATACTTGTTGGTCTTATGATGCCATGTCTTTTATCTATCAATATCTTTATTTTGGAGAGATCATGTGATAATTGAAGAATATTATTTGATTCACGACCACACACATATAGTGATCCATATTCATCAACAGCAAGTTGTTGAGGATTTTTCAGTTGATCATCTTTGTAGATTGCGTTCACCTCACCAGCATAAGTCAAACAGGTCACAGTGTTTCTGCTCCAGTCAGAGACATAAATCATAGAATTGTCAGGACTAATAGTCAAATAAACAGGATAGGTAAACCGATTCTGACCATTGTCATCTTTATCAAATGATTTCACTATTCTACCTGATATACTAGAAATCTTAATACTACCTGTCAACCAATATGAAACCACAAAATGGTTATTACTGTAAGCAATACCACTACAACAACCATTTCCTGGTATCTCAGTGATATCTAAAACTTCCATATCTTGCGCAAATGTAATCAGTCTGATCATTCTTTCATCTGTAAATGTGACAGCAACTTTATGATGTGAAACTTTTGTTATTCCCCATGGTTTGCTGTTGAATTTTCTTTCTTTGATATATTCTTCTTTTGATTTTTCAAGCCTAAATATGACAAGACAACACCTATTATAATCTAATGCAAGAAGTGTATGTTCAGATAAGACAAGTAAAGAAGTTATACTGTCAAACTCGTGACTGATATCAAAATTAAAGGAAATCTTTCTCTCTTCAGCTGATGCATGTACTTTATCTAATGAGAAAAACCTTGTTTGATTCTCTAAAGATTTTACATTTAATGGAATGTCAAATATGTTGAGTTTGTATCGCTGTATGGAGTAATGTTGAATTTGGTAAGTCGTGACTTGAATGTGTTCACACATTTGTTTCGCTAACTTCCATTTTATAAATAGTTCACAGTTTTTACCAAATTTCCGAGCCTGTTCTAAATCTACAGTAAGAGCCTTCAAATTTCCAACCAAATTCAAATGTTCAGACTTGACTTTTTTGAAATCAGTGTTTGTCTTAACAACCTCTTCTTTCATATTTGATTCAGCTTTTCCTACTTTTTCTTCAAACTTTCTTCCCTTTTCAGAAGACATTTGAATTAGTTTTGACCTTTCTTTCTTCAACTTAGCAATGGTGTCTTCCATTTTCTTATCAAAATCATCAATGAGATCTTGATGATGTTGCTTGTAAGTTGCTATCAGCTTGTTGCTTTGCTCTTTACATGCAAAAGTTGCATTTTCCTCTTGTTTCTTAATCACTTCACTTTTGGCATCCAACAACTTTTCTGTGTCTTTTATATCCTTAGACAATTGATCCATATTTTTGCTAAAGTTTGTTAGTTCATCACTTTTTTGTATGTCTGAAGCTAGTGTTGGTAAATGGTTAACATCACTGCAGTTTTTATGGTCATTATTCTTGCATTCCTGACAGGCTTCTTTGTTGCATTGAGAACAGTAAAACTTGATCAGCTTTCCAGGATGAGTTGAACATTTCTCAAAATAAAAATCCTGTGGCATACTTTTACTGTCTTGGATTTTGTGCGTTTTAAATTGTCTCTTATGATATCTTTGACATATCACACATATATAATCCTGACATTCTACACAAAAAGCTACAGCTGTTGCATAACCATCATCATGTCTCTCACATGCCTCACAAAACATTTCTGTTACTTCATCAGAGTCTTGTGTAAGTGATCCACTGAAATTTGCAGCCATTTTGCAATTTTTTGTCTGTGTAATTCACTTGAACAAATAAACACTAGTTTTGAGATTTATTGTTAATTTTGAAAATTGTATTGCATGAAAATATATATGCTTTCATTTTCATTCTCAACTAAGTTCACTTAGCAAAGCAGTTTCGGTTAAAGCAAGTGAAATGTTTAAACTGTTTTGAAAATTTAATACTGAATAATCTGATAACAGCATGAATTTATATGAGCGTATCAGGTGTTTTATATTAGAATGACCTAACTTGGTAAGTTTAAAGAATCAGATACAGCAGTTTTGTCTTTCATAATTTATGCTTGATAAGAAGGAAGTTATGGTGTCATGTCATTTACTGATAAGATTTTATAAATCTGTTTAATAAAGTTTTCTAACTTGACCCACATTGAGCAGGTTAAAGCTAAGATTTCAAAGTAATAGCCGGTGATTCCGTCGGCGTTTAAATTTCGTTTAACGTATACAGATATATTTACGCTTCAAACCTAAAATATATAGAATTGATAAGAAAATTCATGCTGAGACTTTTACAAATGTAATTGTAGCATGATTTAGTACATAAAATAATTTTAATATTTTTGCCATTTATTTGCCTAAGTATCCCTTTAAAAGTTCTACTTTATTGTGAAAAAACTATGATATTACTTGTAAGAATTTTTTATCTTCTCCTTTTGTAAAATTATTTCAGGATTCGTTCAAATGATCCTGATTATATGCACGATATTAAACAAAATTTAATGTATGCCAAATTATCATTTATATATTATGTTTTAGAGGTTTACTTTTTATATTGTAATGGACCATCGTCCGTCGTCTATCGTCCGTCCGTGTGTCCGTGCGTCAACAACTTCTCCTCCTAAACCCCTCTGCCAAATTTGTTGAAACTTTGCAGGGATGTTTGGTTTACCAAACATCTTCTTGTGACAATCCAAAAGCACTGTAGATAAGATATTTGGCATGAAACATCTTCTAGTGAATGTCTTACAAATTTGTTCAAATAAATGCTCTAGAGTCAAAAATGGCCGCACTCCAGGGGTCATTGATATTCCTTATATGTACGTCGAAAAAATTAAAAGAATCTTCTTGTGACAATCCAAAAGAGCTAGAAATTAGATATTTGGCATAAAAAAATCTGCTAGTTGATGGCTACCAAGTTTGTTCTAATAAAATTCGTAGGGTCAAAATTGGCCCCGCCTCAGGGATTACTGATTTTCTTTATATGTATATAGTCAAAACTTAAACAACTTCTTGTGAAAATCAAAAAAAAGGTAAAGCTTAGATATTTGGCATGAAACATCTTCTAATGGATGTCAACCAAGTTTGTTCAAATAATTGCCCTAGGATCAAAATTGAACTGGCCCAGGGGTCATTGATTTTCTTTATATGCATAGTAAAAACTAAAAAAAAAAATCTGTTTTAGTTCAAATAAAAGTCTTTTTCTGCCAATTATCTAGTGTGCGCAATCTTCGTGCATTTCTTGACTCGAACATGAGGATGGAACAACATATAAATAATGTCTGTAGGAACTGTTATGCACAACTAAGACAAATCGGTCACATCAGATCCTATCTTACTGTTAAAGCAACCAAATCTCTAGTAAATTCACTTGTTACCTATAGGTTACTACTGTAATGCACTGTTATATGGAGTCTCTAAGCAGTCAATGACCAAGTTACAACATGTTCAAAATACAGCAGCTAGAATTGTGACCAAAACACTCAAATATGACCACATAACACGTATGTTACGTGAACTTCACTGGCTTCCGGTAGAGTATCGGGTCGAATATAAAATTTTGACTTATACATATAAATCCCTCATCGATCAATCACCAGCCTATATAAAAGACATGATAGACGTGTACATCCCAGTCAGGGATCTGAGGTCCCAGAATAACTCAATGACATTAGTTGTGCCTAAATCTCGGACAGTACGATATGGTGACAGGTGCTTCCAAACAGCCGCAGCGAAATTATGGAACGCGTTACAACCTGACATTAGAGACTGTAATACCTTGCCAAGTTTTAAGAGAGCTCTCAAAACACATTTTTTCAGAAAGTTCTATGGCCGTTAGTTTCATAAATCAACATACATGTACTACTTTTGCTATATTATCAGTGTAAATTTTAATTGAGCCTTGATTTTAAACTAAATGTGTCTGTATTTCTTACCATTCTTTACTGGTTTTAGATTATCATTATTGTTTAATAGGTTTACTTAATTAATATTGTACATTATGTCTTATATATATATATGTTTTATCGGATTTATGTAAAGCACTCTTGAACATTTATTATTTATGAAAAGAGTGCTATAGAAATGTGGTATATAAAAATAATAATAATAATAAAAAGCCCTAGATTCAAAATTGACCGCGCCCTAGGGGTCATTGATTTGCCTTATATATACACATATATTGTAAAAATTAAAAAATCTTCTTTTGAAAATCCTAAATACCTATCTTAGATATTTGGCATGAAACATGTTCTAGTGTATGTCTACCCTGTTTGTTGAAATAAAATTTATGGGTCAACATTGCCCCGCCCAGGGGATCGAGGTCGACAGTTCAATCCCAAACCAGGTCAAATGGTTGTTTTCCCTCTCTTTTTCTGTCATCTTTTTGTTAGCTCACCTCTCACTGTGTGACATGCTAAACTGTTTAATAAAATGGCTGCTAGATTTAAAATTAGAAAACAACAACATCTAAACAACATATTAACAACTGGTTTAGTTCTGAAATAATTTTAAACAAAAATTTCTTTCGTGACAGTGTACACAATTTTTTTTCAGATTAAGCTGTCCCTTGTTTTCAAGTTGCGCTTCTAGGGAACAAAGAGGCTACACTTTGACCTTTTAACCTATTTTTCAGGTGAGCGATCCAGGGTCCTCTGGGCCCTCTTGTCATTTTTTTGCTTTTAAAGTACTTCAATCCTGATACAGACATTTACTATATACACGTACAAGGGTAATGTTCGAAAAATTATTGTTTTTAGAATATATATCCAATATTGTTGAAACTTATGTGTGGGTAACTTTATTTGCCTCGAACAGAAAATGAAACCACTTTTTGAAGCAAGATGAACAGGTTTCCATAGTCCAAAAAATAAATTTTAATCTATTATTTTTAATAAAATAGCATTTCTCTCCTTATGCTTGAAGATAGAAATAACATTTAAATGCGTCTGATAAAGTGGCAATATTATGATGTCACCTTCGCTAAATTTTAAATCAGTTGCAGTGTTTGAATGAAGCAACAACATTTCGTTCCATATATATCATTCAAACAGTTCTTTTGGAAAATAAAATGTTGATTAGTGATGACCAGTTGCGAAGTGCAGTACAATTCTGTGTTACGCTCAATAAATCTTCAACAGAAACTTTAAAGATGATGAAAGAGTTTGACTATTTACAGAATAATGGGGTTATCCTACTCACTCAGGCGTCAGTATAACACTTATGTTATCGTGTTATAGATAGCATTTTGAGTTACATCATATCTCATCAAGGACTGAGGTTATATGCTTGTCTTCTTTCATATCAGTATAGGAGGTCACTAACAAAGACATATAACATGAAATTTGAAGACTTAAACTTTAACTTTACCATCATGTATTTTTCATGAAACATCTTTTTTGTGTTAATTTCTGCATTATCATGGCTCTTGACTTAATATTAAGCATGTAGATCAACTGACAGCTCTTTTCTGATAACATAGTTTTCTATGCCTTTTATATGTAGGATTTTTCTTTTCATTGTTTCACACCAAACTGGCTTTATCGTCTCTGCACTTTGTAGTCTAGATACAATTTTTGGATGTCTCACAGTGATCGAATTGGCTTTTGTAAATTATTTATATGACGGGGTGTGGAAATATGGATTTTGCCCTTTTCTCAAGGACAAGTTGGGCAGGAATTTTTACTTGTACGCAGCTTAACTTTACTTTTAATTTTACTTTTGATAAAAGTTTCTGAGAGGTAATAGTTTCAGCATGCAAATTTTATATTGTGACTAGACGGATATACAATGTCGTATCAGATTGGAAATGATTCACTGCCTTATATACCGGTAATTTGCAAAACGTTTCCTCAAACTCCAGAGATTAAATCTGATCTTTACACTAATATTTATACACACATTAAAAATCACTCCATGCTCAAGTATTGAAGCTGAGACACCTGATGTGTTGCATTGTATTTAGACTAATTTATTACATAGATGTACATTCAGATGTGCTTAAGCTAACACCATCTTGTCCTTCTTGTTATGTCACTTGTAAACACTATTGAATGTTGATACAACATTACAATGTCTAAATATAGGACTTTCAGATAGTAACAAAATAGAGTGAAATAAGAACCCCTAAAGAAAGCCCAACTCGGCAAAATTGAAAATGTTGATGGCTCGGTTTGATTGAGCCTGTTCATGGACGTACTAAGAAAATCAAGTGACACTTGATTAGATCTCAATTATATTTATTCATACAATAATGTAGGTATTTTAATTTTGGTATGTCACTTACTTGGCAAAAGTGTTAACTATTTAAATGAAAAATGAAAAGATTCAACTGTAATAGCAGGAAATATTTACAGCTCATTTCATGTACTGTTTTGTGTATAAAAAATATGGCACAAAATACTTTTTTAATATTGCAATTTAAATCACTATATACAGTAAAGTATAGGCATGATTATTGTACACAATACAACAGGTTAGAATACTTGATGTTGATGAATATATGCATACAGTAAAGTATAGGCCTGATTATTGCACACCATACAACAGGTTAAAAGACTTGATGTTAATGAATGTATGTATACAGTAAAATACAGGCATGGTTATTGTACACCATATAACAGGTTAAAATACTTGATTTTTATGATTATGTGATAGTTTGTTCATGAACATATAACTTCAAGATTCCAATGTGCAATACTGTTTAGTAAAGTGTTGAGTTGTTATGGCTATAAGGAGTCTTAGGACCGTATTCAACCACCCCTAAATGAGACTTTGAAATGAACTTTCTGTAAAAGTTATATATTTTAACCTAGTGTCACATTGAAATCTGTCACACATTCTCACAATGTCTTTTTATTCGCCACAAAGCGGTATTTGTTATTCTGCCACGATGCCATACTTTTTGAAGATTTACCCTGACTTTTGTCCATCAAGATCTTCGTTTAGGTGAGGTCACATAATTATAGAAAGATATTGCCTCACTCATGCACAAACATTATACTGATAAAATTGTTCTAGATGGTTATGTTTAAAGCATTTCAATTGAACATGTGATTAGAGTCAGTGGGAGAATATTGCTATTAAAGTATACATGTATATAGAAATATGAGAAATTGTAGTTTATGAGACTGTGAAAGTGATGTAATATTTTATTCAAGTGACACACTAAAAACCTTTATTTTACTACTTTGATTCATTCCCACAAATAATCTCTTCGTATTCTGGCAGTATGCAATACTTGTTGGTGTATCTATGCCATGACTTTTATCTAGTATTTTCACTTATGGTGAGGTCAACATGAATAATTGATGGACATTGTTAGAGTCACGACCACACACATAAAACTGATCCATATTCATCAACAGCAAGTTGGTGAGGAAATTTCAGTTGATCATCTTTGTATATGGATTTCAAACATTCCATCAAAGGTCAAAAGGTAACACTGTATCTTCCACAATCAGAGACATACATCATAGAATTGTCAGGACCGACAGTCAAGTAATAAGAAAAGGAAAACAGACTCTGACCATTGTCATCTTTGTCAAAGATTTCACTATTTTACCTGAATACTTAAAATCTTAATACTACCCACCTGTAAACCTGTTGTAATATGAAAAAACAAAGATGGTATTATTACTGCAAGCAATACCAAAACAACGAATATTTTCCTGGTATCCTCAGTGAAAATTTCTCAGAAAATGTAATCAGTCGATCATTTCTTCTTTGGAAATGTGACAAAATTTATTATCAAAACCCTTTGTTATTCCCAAGGGATTGTGTTAAAATTTTTGATTTTTAATACTTTTATTTGACATTTAAAGCGTAAATATAAAGGACAGCCTTTTATAATTTTTTAAAATGTTTTTTCGAAGCAAAGCAAAAAATTTACTGTCAAACTCATGAGATACACAAAAAAGGGCAATTTTTTTTCTCTACTCGTACATGTACTTTTTTAAATAGAAAATCTTTTTTGATCCTCTAGAGATTTTTGATTTTTTTAAAATTTTCAATTTTTATTTTGTATCGTTGTATGTGGAATTTAAATTTGGTCAGAAGAAAATTGAATTTTTTCACTTTTTTTTCGCTAACTATTTTTAATTAAACTTTCACATTTTTTTGCCCTAATTCTGACCCTGCTCTATATCAACAATAAGAGCTTTCAAATTTCCAACCAAATTCAAATGTTCAAACTTAAGTTCTTTAAAGTTTGTATTTGTCTTAACAACCTCTTGTGTCATATTCGTTTCAGCTGTTCTTACTTTTTTTTCAAAATTTCTTTCCTTTTCAGATAATTTTTGAATTAGTTCTAACCTTTCTTTCTTCAACCTAGCAATGGTCTCTTCCATTTTCTTATCAAAATCATCAATTAGATCTTGACGATGTTGTTTGTAAGTTGCTATCAGATTGTTGCTTTGCTCTTTACATGCAAAAATTGCGTTTTCCTCTTGTTTCTTAATCACTTCACTTTTAGCATCTAAAATATTTTCTGTGTCTTTTATATTCTTAGACAATTGATCCATATTCTTGCTAAAGTTTGTTAGTTCATCACATTTTTGTATGTCTGAAGCAAGGGTTGGTAAATGGTTAACATCACTACAGTTTACATGGTCATTATCCTTGCATTCTTGGCAGGCTTCTTTGTTACACTGAAGGCAGTAAAACTTGATCAGCTGTCCAGGATGAGTTGAACATTTCTCACAATAAAAATCCTGAGGCATACCTTTACTCTCTTGGATTTTGTGAGTTTTAAATTGTCTCTTATGATATCTTTGACAGGTCACACATATATAATCCAAACAATCTACACAGAAAGCTACAGCTGTAGCATAACCATCACCATGTCTGTCACATTCCTCACAATACATTTCTTTAATTTCATCAGAGTCTTGTGTAAGTGATCCACAGGAATTAGAAGCCATTTTGCTAATTTGATCGTTTTTGTATAATTTACATGAACTATATAAGTATTGAGTTTCAATGTTAATCCTGAAGATTTAAAAGTATATAAATCCTGTCAATGCCAATTTATTATTATTGAGTTCATTTGAACAAAATAATTGGTTTTAACCTTTAAACTTTTAAGATTGGTTTACCAATATTTCCTATTCAAAGCTTGTTTATCAATTACATCATGAATACGTTATATATATTGTATACTCGCTAGTCAGTTGCTGTCGTAAAATGGCCTAACTTATTAGGTTTAAAGAGCCAGATACAGTATTGTTGTCGTGTTTAATTTATGCTTGATCAGAGTTGATATTTGAGGCCAAAAAATTATTGTATCATGTGCTTTATTGAAATATAAATCAGTTTGGTAATGAATGATTCAACTTAAAATATGTGTGTGCTTTATTGTTGAATATTAATTTTGATTTTTGCTTCTTTTTATAGTGAATTGAAAATAAGAAATGTCTTTGTAAGCATAATAACTATTTATATCAGCATATCAGGTGTTATATATTACAATGACCTAACTTGATATGTTTAAAAAATCAGATACAGCATTGTTGCTTTGCATAATTTATGTTTGATAAGAGGTAATATGAGATTCAAAAAAAAATATTGTGATTAAAGATATTATTTTACTAATCAGTTTGATAAGGCTTCATGTGTTCTTTTTGAAATTAAGTTTTATTTTATTGTGAGAAAGTATGATATAACTTTGTAAGAATCTTTTATATTTTCTTTTTGTAAAATTATTCCTGGGTTTGTTTAAAAGATCCTGCTTAAATGTACCATATCAAACAAATGTATGTCAAATTGTCCTTTATATGTTATGCATTAAAGGTTTATCATTTTCTGTTTAGACGTTGTCTATCACCACAACACTGTGTGCTGAAAAAACTTGGAATTAGCTTTTAATTTAGACACATTTTTCTGCAGTAATCACATATTGGGTACTCGCTTGGTACCAGAGACAAACTCGCCAGCGCGACTGCGAGTGCCACATAGGTCGAAGACATTTTTGGACTGCTGAATTCAATTGAATTGTAACTTATTATATCTGCTGAAGTATTCTCGTAAATACAGTACATGGGAAAATATGGAAAAAAGGAAAAAATAGATAAAAAGGGCAAAAGTAAGATAGAAAGGCTTAATAAAGATATAATAAGACCTTCCGCATGCAAAACAGGCACCATTACCACTAACAGATGAGATAACATTCTTTCAACTCCTACCTGTAGGTGCGTTTTTATACATGTATGGCATATTCTTGCCATCCCTATGTACTTCTGAATTTACGATTCTCCATTCACGATCATATTTGAACCGAAGGACTTAACATTCTTTAATGTACATTTGTAGGTGATAAATAATCTAATATCACTAACGGGAAAAAAGAAAATTAAAAGGCATAAAACTTAACAGGAATTAATTTTTATTGATAAATACAACTCATCACATTTACAATTTTGTGTATTTACAGGCTAATAAAATCTTTTGTTGTCATTTTTGTAATTCAAATGATACAATCAGAGAGAATAATAGGCTTTAATTATTTACAACAGATAGCCATATAGAACAGGTTTAATGACTTGATAATTTATGAAAACATGTATATGCATTAACATATTATTTTTTTAAGATTCCAATGTGCCATAGGTATGTGAAGTGTTAAGTTGTTATGGTCATAATGACCCTATTCAACCTAAAATGAGACATTGGAATGAATGATTGGTATGAAGTCTTTGTGTAAGAGTAACATATTTTATCCCTGTAATATATGAAAATTTGTATACTTTCACACATTCCCACAATATCTTGTTATTCTGCAACTATGATAATGTTTTACATTGCTTTCTTAACTTGCTTCAAAAATTATCACTTTGGTAAGGTCACTTGATTAATGATGGACATTTCTCACCCACACACACTGATACAGCTTTTTCTGGTAGTGTTTCAACGCATTTACCTTGAATGTTTTTTAAGGGATAGAATATTTAATGTCATTTAAGAATATATAGCAGTAAAAGAAATTGTAGTTTATGAGACTATGAAAGTTGTGTAATATTTTATTCCAGTGACACATTAAAAACCTTAATTGTTTTACTATAATTCATCCCTTCAAATAATAGTATTCTGGCAGTATGCAATACTTGTTGGTGTAGATATGCCATGGCTTTTATCTTTCAGTATCTCCACTTTGCTGAGATCACATGATAATTGATAGACATTGTTGGAGTTACGACCACACACATAAACGGATTTATATTCATCAACAGCAAGCTGTTTAGGATCTTTTAGTTCATCATCTTTGTAAATGGCCTTCATCTTACCATCAGATGTCAAACAGGTCACGGTGTGTCTGCCACAATCAGAGATATACATCATTGTATTGTCAGGACTGACAGTCAAGTAATGAGGAATGTTAAACTGACCATTTATATCTTTGTTCAATGATTTCACTATTTTACCGGACATATTTAAAATTCTAATACTAGATGAATACATGTTGATATATGAAACAACAAGATGTTTATTACTGTAAGCAATACCATAGCAACATCCATTTTTTGGCATCTCCGTGACATCTAAAACTTCCATTTCCTCAGAAAATGTCATCAGTCTGATCAGACTTTCATATGGAAATGTGACAGCAACTGTATGATCTGAAACTTTTGCTATATCTTGTTTGATCCTCTAGAGATTGTATTGTTGGTTGAATGTCAGATTCTTTTAGTTTGTATCGTTGTATGAAGGAATGTTGAATTTGGTCAGTGGTGATTTGAATTTGTTTACAAATTTGTTTTGCTAACTTCAGTTTAATAAATAGTTTACAATTTTGACCTAATTTCTGAGCCTGCTCTAGATCAACAGTAAGAGCCTTTAAATTTCCAACCGAATTCAAATGTTTAGACTTGAGTACTTTAAAGTTTGCGTTTGTGGTAACAATCTCTTCTTTCATATCTGTTTCAGCTTTTCTTACTTTTTCCTCAAAGTTTTTTACCTTTTCAGATGCCCTTTGAATAAGTTCTAACCTTTTTTTCTTCAACCTAGCAATTGTCTCTTCCATTTTCTTGTCAAAATTGTCAATAAGCGCTTTATAGTGTTGTTTGTAATTTGCTATCAGTTTGTTGCTATGCTCTTTACATGCATCAGTTGCTTTTTCTTCTTGTTTCTTAATCACTTCACTTTTAGCATTTAACAGCTTTTCTGTGTCTTTTATATTCTTCGACAATTGATCCATATTTTTGCGAAAGTTTATTAGTTCATCACTTTTTTGTATGTCTAAAGCAAGGGTTGGTAAGTGGTTAACATCTCTACAGTTTAAATGCCCATTATTCTTGCATTTTTGGCAGGCTTCTTTGTTGCACTCAGAGCAGTAAAACTTGACTAGCTGCCCAGGATGAGTGGAACATTTTTCAAAATAAAAATCCTGTGGCATACTGTTACTGTCTTGGATTTTGTGAGTTTTAAATTGTCTTTTGTGATATCTTTGACAGGTCACACATATATAATCCAAACAATCTACACAGAAAGCTACAGCTGTAGCATAACCATCACCATGTCTGTCACATTCCTCACAAAACATTTCTGTAACTTCATCAGAGTCTTGTGTTAGAGATTCACTGAAATTTGTAGCCATTTCCAATTTTGTTTGTTTGTGTAATTAACTTGAAAATATAAACCCTTAGTTTTGAGATATATCGTTAATTTTGAAAATTATATTGTATGAAAATGAAAATGCTTTCATTTTCATTCTCATTTATGTTCATTTAACAAAGCAGTTTCGGGTTAATCAAGCGAAATCTTTAAGTTGTAAAGTAAATCAATTTCTCGTACTTAGTGCTCATTTATGTAAATATTGATAAAAGCATGAATTTATATCAGCATATCAGGTGTTTTATATTACATAACCTAACATGGTAAGTTTAAAGAATCAGATACAGCTTTGTTACCTTGCATAATTTATGCTTGATAAAAGGTTGAGATATCAAGGAATTTATGGTGTCATATCATTTACTGATAAGATTTTATACTACTTAATTGTGCAAAAATATGATATTACTGTAATAATTTTTTATATTCTCCTTCGATAAAAATTATTCCAGGGTTTGTTTAAATGATCCTTATTATATGTATCATATTAAACTATGTATACCAATTTTCCTTTATATTTAATGTTTAAAATGTTTATCATTTTTTACTTTTAAAGTACTTTGATCCTGATACATAAATTTACTATATGCAAGTACAAGGGTAATGTCGAAAAAAATATAATTATTCAATTTTGTGGAAACTTGGTGTGTGGGTTTCTTCATTTGTCTCAAATATTTGTTTCGAAAAGAAAATGAAACAACCTTTTGTATCAAGATGAACAGGTTTCCTTTCTCATACCCAGAACAGTGCAGAAAATATGAAAATTTCAAACACATTATAAGTTCACCTGTGGACAATGTCCCCAAGGTGCGGTTTTGTGATGACCCATTGTCCGTCGTCCATCGTCCGTACGTCCGTGCGTCAACAATTCATTTAAACAGCTTCTCATTCTAAACCACATGTCCAAATTTGTTGAAACTTTGCAGGGGTGTTCCTAGCATAGAGCTCTACAAAAGCTCTTCAAAGTATTAGATTCCATAAAGAACTTTGATTGCCATGGTAACCAAAATATTATTTTACAAATAAATCTTATTTTTGTAAAAACCTGAAAGAGATTTGATATAAAACATCTTCTAGTTGATGTCTACCAGGTTTGTTTAAATAAAACCCCTAGGAGCAAAATTTCATTTTCATTGATTTTCCTTATATGTATATAGTAAAAACTTAAAACATCTTCTTGTGACAATCCAAAAACACTTTAGATTAGATATTTAGCATGGCACATCTTCTAGTGAATGTCTACCAAGTTTGTTCAAATTAATGCCCTAGGAACAAAATTGGCCCGGTTCCAGGGGTTAGGGGTTATAGATTTTCCTTATATATATATAAACTTAAAACTAAAAAAATCTTCTTGTGAAAATCAAAAATAGTTACAGCTTAGATATTTGGCATGAAACATATTCAAGTTGATGTCTACCAAGTTTGTTCAAATAAAAGGTCAAAACTGGCCCCACCCCAGGGGGGTCATTGATTTTCCTTATATATACATGTATATAGTGAAAAGTTAAAAAATCTTCTTGTGAAAATCCAAAATAGCTAGAGCTTAGATATGCTGCATAAAACATCTTCTATGAGATGTCTGCCAATTTTGTTCAAATAAAAGCCCTAGGGTTAAAATTGGCCCGGCCCTAGGGGTCATTGTTTTTCCTTTTATGATTATAATAAAAACTTAAAAAATCTACTTGTGAAAATCCAAAGGAGGCAGATATTAGATATTTGGCAAGAAACATGTTTGTTGAAATAAAACCCCTAAGGTCAATATTGGCTCCACCCCAGGGGATAGAAATCGACAATTATCAGGTCAAATGTTTGTTTCCTTCTTTTTCCGTTATTTTTCCTTCTTTTTATTAGCTCACGTGTTACAGTAACATGCTGATCTGTTTGGTAAAATGGCTGCCAGAGCTTATATTAGAAAGCAACATATAAACAACATCTCACTTTTTGCACAAACATTTTCTTGGTGACAGTGTACAATAATTGTTCAGATAAAGCTGTCCATATTTTTCAAATTGTGCTTCTGGGGTGAAAAGGGGTTCCACTTTGAACTATTGACCTATTTCTCAGGTGAGCAATCCAGGGTCCTCTCTTGTTTTTGATTTAATGAAATTTCTCTCATTATGTTTGAAGATAGAATAGCATGTAAATGGCAGCTTATAAAGTGACCTCTGCAAAATTGCAAATACGTTATAGCATTTGAATAAAATCAACACCATTTTGTTCCCTATTATTCAAACTGTTGGGAAAAATGTAGATAAGTGATTATAAATATGGGATTATCCTACCCATTCAGGCATCAGCATAACACTTATGTTAAAGTTTTAAGGACAACTTCTCGAGTAACATCATATCTCATCAAGGACTAATTTGCTTGTCTGATATCATATCATTATAGGAGGTCACTAACAAAGACATATAACATGGAATTTGACAGACTTAAACTATAACTTTATAATCATGTATCATGCTTTTTTAACATCTTTTTTATACCCCCGCCATAAAATGGCAGGAGCATATAGTGTTACCCTGTTCCGTCAGTCCGTCCTTCCGTCATTCTGTCATTCCGTCATCATCAGTTTCCGTTCATTATCTTAGTAACGGTTGCACACATACAACTCAAATTTGACACATGTATATATCATGAGAAAATACAGGTTAAATTCGAATTTGGTCATGGTCCGATGATTTTTGATAGAGTTATGCCCCTTGATGAAATTTTCCGTTTCCGTTTATTATCTCTCCAACGGTAATACACATTCAACTCAAATTTAATATATGGATACGTCAAAGGAATGCGCAGGTCAAGTTTGAATATGGTCATGGTTTGATGACTTTTGGCAGAGTTATGCCCCTTTCACTTTAAAAATAATATGAAATTTTCAGTTTCCGTTCACTATCTCCCCAACTGTTACATATATTCAATTCAAATTTAATGTATGGATACATTAAAGAAATGCGCAGGTCAAGTTCGAATTTGATCCTGGTTCAATGACTTTATCCCCAACAGTATTACACACTCAACCCAAACTTGACATATAGATACGTCAAAGGAATGCGCTGGTCAAAATATAATAAACAATAGATAAATACAGAATCCCTAAAGAAAGCCCAACACGGCAAAATTGAAAATGTTGCAGGCTCGGTTTGATTGAGCCTGTTCATGGACGGTACTGGAAAGTGCAAGTTACCGTCCACGCCCCCTAGCACCGGCTTAAGCAGAATTCAACATTTAAACATGACATAGTAAAATTTTGAATTTAGAAACATCCGCAGATGTGTTCATACGGCGGTTATCATGGAACCTTCAATGTGACACTTCAGTGCCGTTCCATGAAAAGCGGCGTATGGTCCCCAAGTAATAAAAAGCGTGTGCCCTAAACGAGAAAACAATGGGCGGAACTAAATAAAATGGAATTTTGAAAGGGGATCAGAGGTTATGAAGCCTGCGTATCACAGATAAGACGTCAAAAGACAAATTTAAAAAGCAGGCAACATATCCTAAGGGTGATTCAACATTATTCAAGTAGGAATATTGGAACCACCCAATTAAAAAATGCCGAAAAGTTGAAACTAAAAATACCACAAGCACAACAATAATGTCGTGCTGAACGATCTTCAAGGATCGAAAATATAACATCATTGATTAAATGTACGGGGAGACTTTTTACAGCCGCCACACGGCACAAATAACACGGATGTGATCATAAAATAGATAAATACAGAATCCCTAAAGAAAGCCCAACACGGCAAAATTGAAAATGTTACAAGTTCATCAAGGAAAGGCGGCGTTCAATGAACGCAGCCCCCACCCGACCCAGTAACAAGAGCCAGTGGCAAGGAGCCCAGGAGGACCCCAAACAAAAACAGGGAAGGGCATAAGGCAGAGTACGAATTCGGTCATAGTTCTATGTATTTTGGCAGAGTTATGCCCCTTTCAATTTGAAAATAATATGGAATTTTTCAGTTTATGTTCATTATCTCCCCAATTGTTGTACATATTCAACTCAAATTTAATATATGGATATGTTATAAAAATATAATGGTCAAGTTTGAATTTGGTCATGGTTTGATGATAGCTGACAGAGTAATTCCACTTGAACTTTGACAAAATCAGTAATCTTTAGTTTCCGTTCATTACCGCCCCAAAGGTGTACACATTCAACAAATTTGAAATAAAGATACATCTTAGGAATAAGCAGATCAAGTTCGAATTTGGTCATGGTTCTATGATTTTGGACAAAGTTATCTCTCTTGAATGTTGGAAAAATTTTGAATTTTCAGTTTCAGCACTCATACTTTTGTGGAAATGTATGTAGTCATTATTTTGGCAACAAATATGCAATATGCAATTTACAAAAGATTAACACTGAATAGTTTCTGTGCATTGAACTTTTGTATAAAAATGGTTTGTGTTTACATTGAATTGTTTTAAGGGCCTTGAACTTAAAATGAAAACTAAAGTTTGTGCAAACAAACTTGGAACTAAATATTGTAAAATCTGAAATTTTGGCTGCATGCATCAGTGGCGTGACGACACATTTCTAGTTCTGGTTAAAATTCCTACATAATCATGACTCTTGATTTAAGCACGGAGAATAACTGACAGCTCTTTCAGACAGCCTATTTTTTTCTGCCTTAAACATTAAAGATAATAGAAATTTTCAATGTTTAACACCAAACTTCATTCATCTTCACTGCACTTTGAAGTTTAGATACAGTTTTTGGATTTTTCACAGTGATAGCATTGGCTTCTAGAATCGGCTTCTGTTAATCATTTAATGCCACTAATTTGCAGAAAAGATGCAAAATATGATAAACAAGATCAACAAGGAAAGGGGCCGTTCTATTAACGCAACCCCCACACGACCCAGCAACAAGAGCCAGTGGCAAGCAGCCCAGAAGGACCCCAAACAAAAACAGGACAAGGCACAAGGCAGAGCATGGGCAGGCTAATCACTAAAATCATACATAAGAAAAAATAATTAGTAACTGATAAAAAGAACTCAAAGAAAACAAATAAATGATTGAATAATAGGCCCATAAAGTCAAAGGGCACAGGGGAAGGGGACATGAGACCCGGGGAAGAGGGGGGGGGGGGGAAATAAAAGAAATAAAAACTAGGGGCAAATGGGAAGATACTTACCGTAGACGAGAAAACAAGGGACACAAAAGTGTCACCAAAACAGTATAATATAAAATAAACAGACAAGCCACACAAACACGAACATTCAGTAATTAAATTTTATTGCATACGTTTCGGCTATATGCCATTATCAGTGCAAAACATGATAATTTTTTTTTTTTACCAAAACAGTATGGAACAACTAAGACATACATCTTTGGAACACAGAGGGGCGCCGCCTTGGAACTGTCAGCAGCATAGATACTGCCGGGGAGTTTAAACTTGTTAATGGTGCACCAAACCTCACTCTTAGCCCCCACCATGTTCCTATAAACGAGACAGTGTAAAAAAATGAATCCCCTCCAAGTGAAATTCTAACAGTTGTCATGGTTACAAAAGGTGAAATATGTAAAACATCGAAATGCTCATTTAGAAACATACAAAAGAAAACCCAATGACCATAAAAAGAACTCAATGTCTTAAAGGAAGACAGAGCAACAAGAAGAACACCTACAAGGGCCCGATGAAGCAAGACTGAAGAGGAACATTAAGGCAATTCAGTCTCAAAGGGCTTTAAGGACTGTACATCATAGAGTCTCCCACTTGATCCGTCAGATGTAATCAAGAGGGAAGCGTAGCGTGCCTTTGCCATTAAAATTGAAAAAAAAATGAGACTAGAAATGCGATGCTACATCCTTCTATCTGTAACATTCTCTTGTCAGCTTTGTCAGTTCTAAACTTAAACATTATTCCAAAATAACAAATTATCACCCTTATGAGATAATGCAGACAAGGTTGCTGCCTACTACGAAAGCTCAAATATTAAAAAAAAATGTCTGCTCCATGACTTTTTAACAGCTGAAAATGTTTTTTATTCATTTTATACCATTGATTACCATGATTTGACTTTATGCAGAGAGTAACAATCAGTTAGCTACCACCAAGGTCATGCTCACAGTTCATGGTCAAACATAAATAAGTCAACAATTTATATACATTTCATATATAGTTATTACCCTGCTCACTATTTCTAAAATTCTGGAAACAAAGTGATCCCTCGGAATCATTAATCACAACAACAACATAATAAAATAACTTGGCAAAATAATCACCATTATGACAGAATGGTCAAAGTGCAACAAACATGATGTGGATACCTTCAATGTTAAGGTCACACTAAATCGTCAAATATTAAATAATCCACAATTTGTGGCCCCTCCATAACATGACTGTTGAGGCGATTTTTTAAATGGCACTATGATAACCACCATGATACAACTAAACTTTTGCATAGGGCAGCATCAACGTTGCTACCTCGAAGGTCAACATTCAGTTGACGTTTTATGTCCACTCTTCAATATTGAAAAACAAATGTATTAGAAACACTGGACAAAATGCTCCCCAGAAAGACATAACATACAGATTGCTACCCCCCCCCCTCCGACCCCTATATAAAACGAAGGTCCTTCAGACTGCCTTGTTGCTTTGATTGGATCAGTTACTTTTAAATTGAAGGAAACAAACTGCACTTTCATATGTTCAGTACCATGAATCTCAAAGAAAAGGTTTTTTAAAATTATATTTTACCTTTTGGCATTGAGAATGTGGCCAAATTTTGAGCCCAAGTCACCTGAAAAAAAGTGACTGAAAGTGACTCATAGGAAAAATCTTCAAGAATCATATCTATAAGATAAGTTTTGCAGAGATGCTTGGTGTGTGTCATTGTCTATGTGACTTGTTTTTAGTCGATATACCTCAGATGAGCTAGCTCAGGCCACCTTGGCTTTCTTGTTATGTCATGTAAATACTGGTGATATTAAATAACATTGTTTATGCATACTGATATTTATTTATTAAGTTTATTTATTTTGGAATCGTTGTAAATATTACCAGACCAGTATACTTGAGAAAAGGTAGGACATGTTTTTTATGGATAGTATAGTAATACTTTATGACCAAAGTCAGTAAGACATTGTAGTGTAGTGAAAGAGCATTGGTGTTTCAATCATACTGTTACGGGTTCAAATCCTAACCGTTCCAATGTTTTTAGATATCTATTTTTCAATGCACGAGTACTTCGTGTTTGTGTCATGCATGTTAATGACACATCTCATGTTTAATTAAATTCATTGAAGTTTTTCTGCTACACTTAACACAATGACTTCCAACAAAAATAAACTGTTTTATTGCGAGCACGCGAGTCCTGAGCATGTTGTTGAAGTGTATGTTATGGCGAAATAACAAGGATGTTATCACACTTCTGGTGTAATAAGGTACGTTGTCTATCATCAAATTACTGTGTGCTGAAAAATTAGGGGTTAAACTTTTGATTAAGCCACTTGGTTAAAATCTCGACATTCATTTCTCCATACTATTCACCTATTGAGGTACTCGCTTGGCACCGGAAACGAACTCGCCAGCGCAACTAAGAGTGTCACAGAGGTCGAAAAAAATTTGCATTGCTGAATTCAATTCAATTGTAACTTCTTATATATGTTACATCATTCTCGTAAATAAAGTACATGGAATAAAAATATGAAAACTATAGATATATAGATATCACGGGGAAAATAGAAAGGCCTAATAAAAATAATAGCCATTGTGGGATTTTAAAACAAGACCGTCCGCATGCAAAACAAGCACCATAACCACTAACCTAACAGGTCATATAACATTCTTTCAACAGTGTTACCTGTTGATGCGTTTTCGTACATGTAAATGGTATATTCTTGCTATCCTTCCTTGTGTACTTCTCAATTTAAGATTTCCCATTCTCGATCATATATGAATTGAAAGTACTGAACTTTTTTGAATGTTCATTGGTAGGTAATAAGTAATGGTATGTCACTAACAGGGAAAAAAATAAAATGCATAAACTTTAACAGTAATTAAAATTTATTGATAAATACAACTACATTGAGATGATAAAGTCATTTTATACGTTAAATAACATGCTTTAATTATTTACACCAGACAACATAATAAAACAGGTTTAAGGACTTATTATTTTTAAGATTCCAATGTGCCATATTTATGTAAAGTGTTAAGTTGTTATTGTTATAAGGAACCTATGTTACCTCCCTAAAAGGAGTCTTTGAAATGAATGACTGGTCCGAAATCTTTGTGTAAGAGCTAAAAATTTCATCCTTGTGATACGTTGGACTTTTATACTGTCACACGTTTCCACAATATCTTGTTATTCTGCAACTATGCAGTTCTTGTAAAATAATAATTTGCATGACTTTTATAACTATGAAGACTATCACTTTGGCGAGGTCGCTTGATTACTGATGGAAATTTTCTCGCCCACACTTATACTAATCACACTTTTCTGGCAGTGGTTCAAAGCATTTATCATGAATGTTTTTACGGTAAGAATATGTAATGTCATTTAAGAATATATAGCAGTGAGAGAAATTGATGTTAATGAGACTGTTAAAGTGATGTATCATTTTAGTCAAGTGACACATTAAAAACCTTTATTTTACTACTTTGATTCATTCCAACAAATAATTTCTTCGTATTCTGGCAGTATGCAATACTTGTTGGTGTATCTATGCCATGACTTTTATCTAGTATTTTCACTTTGGTGAGATAATGTGATAATTGATGGACATTGTTTGAGTCATAACCACACACATAAACTGATCCATATTCATCAACAGCAAGTTGATGAGGAGCTTTCAATTGATCATCTATGTAAATGGCTGCCACCTCCCCATCAAAAGTCAGACAGGTCACAGTGTGTCTTCTCATATCAGAAACATATATCATAGTATTGTCAGGACTAACAATCAAGTAATAAGGCTTGATAAACAGATCCCAGCCATTGTCATCTAAAGCAAATAATTTCACTTTTATACCTGATATACTTAAAATCTTAATACAACCTGTAAACCCGTTGAAATATGAAACAACAAAATGGTTATTACTGTAAGCAATATCAAAACAACGACCATGTCCTGGTATGTCAGTGGTATCTAAAACTTCCATATCATCTGAGAATGTTATTTGTCTGATCTTTCCTTCATTTGGGAATGTTACAGCAATTTTATAATCTGACACTTTTGTTACTCCCCATGGTTTGCTGTTAAGTTTTATTTCTTTGATATATTCTGCATTTGACTTTCCAAGTGGTATTATGATTAGACTACACCTATCATAATCTAGCGCGAGAAGTGTATGTTCAGATAGCAAAGAAGTTATTTTTTTAAACTTGTGATTGATATCAAAATTAAAAGCAAGTTTTCTTTCTACAGCTGATACATGGACTTCATCAAATGAGAAAAACCATGTTTGATCATCTAGAGAGTTTAATGTTGTTTGGTCCTCTACTGATTGTTTCGTTTGTTGAATGTCAGATTTCCTAAGATTGTAGCGTTGTATGTAGGAATGTTGAATTTGGTAAGTGGTAGCTTGAATTTGGTTACACATTTGTTTCGCTAATTTCAGTTTTATAAATAGTTTACAGTTTTGACCTAGTTTCTGAGCCTGTTCTAGGTCACCATTGATAGCCTTCAAATTTCCAACCAAGTTCAAATATTCCAACTGTAGTTCTTTAAAGTTTATGTTTGTGTTAACAACTTCTTCTTTTATATCTTTTTCAGCTTTTGTTACTTTTTCTTCAAACTTTCTTTCCTTTTCAGATATCTTTTGAATTAGTTCTGACCTTTCTTTCTTCAACCTGGCAACAGTCTCTTCCATTTTCTTATCAAAATCATCAATAAGCTCTTGATGATGTTGCTTATAAGTTGCTATCAGTTTGTTGCTATGCTCTTTACATGTTTCAGTTGCATTTTCCTCTTGTTTCATAATCACTTCGCGTTTTGCATCCAACAGCTTTTCTGTGTCTTTTATATTCATTGACACTTGATCCATGATTTTTCTTAGATTTATAAGCTCATCACTCTTTTGTATGTCTGAAGCAAGCGTTGGTAAATGGTTAACATCACTACAGTTGACATGCTCATTATCCTTGCATTCTTGGCATGCTTCTTTAATACATTCAGAGCAGTACAACTTGATCAGTTGTCCAGGGTGAGTGGAACATTTCTCAAAATAAAAATCCTGTGGCATACTGTTACTGTCTTGGAGTTTGTGAGTTTTAAATTGTCTCTTATGATATCTTTGACAGGTCACACATAAATAATCCAAACAATCTACACAGAAAGCTACAGCTGTAGCATAACCATCACCATGTCTGTCACATTCCTCACAATACATTTCTTTAATTTCATCAGAGTCTTGTGTAAGTGATCTACTGACATTAGTAGCCATTTTAGTACCTTCCTTCTTGTCTTAATAATTAAATCTCTGTTGCTTTATAGCCTTTTACTTTATTAAAGTCATATAATAAAAAAACATCATTATCATTAAATGCTATTATTGAAGATTATAAAGCATGTATGTCATAAACTGGTTACATTAATAGGTATTTCAACAATGTTTTAAGTAGGCTGGTTAAGACAGCCAGGTAGATCATTTTTGTTGAGAATCTTTTACATAACATGTAGTGTGATAGCTGGACGTATGAAGGATCAAAGTTTTATTTAATTTTGTCATATGATAGTTTGATAAATCTCTATGTGTTTTGATAATGTTTGAAAATTAAAATATGTGCTCTTGTTGTTTATTAGAGGTCAGATTATGTATGTTATGAGGTCATACATCTACTGTAAACTTTTTAACATTAAGGAAAGAGTTCTACTATTTCTGTAATAAAATTCTTCGTGTAACAATATGGCAAGGTGTGTTTAAATGATGAGAAATCATATTATAACAAATGTATCTTTGAAACTCATATTACTTAGGTCTTTTTATTAAATAATGATGTGTTACTTTAATTCTAATAAATTATTTTTTAAAACAGAAAAATACAAAAGAAGAAAATAAGATTTATATATTATGATTATATATCTGTTTTATATCACTTTATGCAAGGAATACGAGGAATATTTATTATATGTTTATAATAAACATTATTAGTCCAACCACTAATTAGTACAACCAATAATTCAGTTTGTCCAACTCAAACAATCCTGGACGCCAAATTTAACATATTAAACCAACGTTCTTACTGATTTGCTATACAAAGAAAATAAAACCTTAAAAAAAGTATATCATAATAATATATTATGATTAAGTTAATATCTTTATATTTCTGTTACTGTAAATTTGTTTGTATGCCCTTTATCACATAAAATTGGGCCAAGAGTGAGATAATCAAAGTGGAGCTATTTTAATTTCTGTGTTGTCATTGTGCAAAAACTTAAATGTAGCCTATCATTTAAACAGTTTATTATTCAAACAGTTCAGAATACTTACTAATCATGACCAGTGACAGTTGTTTTTCAAGGGACATAATTAAGAAACCTTTATTTTTAATCCCCTGTCCGCTCCACTACTTTTAAAATATTAATTTACAATCTTTATAATACGGCAATGTGCAGAGCGCACTAATTTGGTTAATACCCATAAGGTTAAGGTCACACTTAAAGGTTAAATGTTAAAAAGTCTTCATTTTAATAATAAAAGGTCTACATTTCATGTCCGCCTTTAACTTTTAAACAGCTGATTTTTTTTAATAACTTGGCAGAAGTGATCACCAGAGTAATACAATATGCAGAGCGCAATAATTGCGTTAATATCTACAAGGTCAAGGTCACACTCAAAGGTCAAATGTTAAAAAGTCTTTATTTCATAATAAAAAGTCCACATTTCGTGTCCTTTTAAACCCCTGCATTTTTTTTAATAACTTGTCACAACTGATTACCATTATAAGACAACGTACACAGCGCATTAATTGGCTTGCTTCCCAAAACGTCAAGGTCACACGTTGAGGAATAATGTTAAAAAGTCTACTACTAACTTTATAACCGCTGAAGTTTTTAAAAATAACTTGGCACAATTGATCACAAATATAAGAACATGTGCAAAACACAATAATTGGGTTGTCACCCAAAGGTCAAGGTCACACTTAAAGGTCAAATGTATAAAAGTCTACATTTCGTGTCCCCTCCATAACTTTGAAACATCTGTCTTTTAAATAGCTTAGCACAAGTGATCACCATAATAAGACAATGTGCAGAGCGCAATATTTGGGTTGCAAAGGTCAAGATCACACTTAAAAGTCAGGTGTTCAAAGGAATACAATTTGTGTCTGCTCCATAACTTTTAAACCGCTGAAAAGTTTTTTGAATAACCATGATCACCATTATGTGCACAGGGCAATAATTGAATTGCTACCCTCAAGGTCATGGTCACATAGGTCAAATGTAAGTAAGTCTACATTTTAAGTATGTCCATAACATTTAAACCGCAATGCAATGTTTTAAAGATAACTCGGCAGAAATGATCACCATTATAACATCATTGACAGAGATCAATGATCAAGTCACAACCCTGAAGGTCAGGATGACACTCAAAGGTCCAATGTAAAAACATCTATTTTTCATGTCCGCTCTATAACTTATTGCAAATTCAAAGGTTTTAAAAATACTTGGCACAAATGATCACCACCATGACACAATTTGCAGAGTTCAATATCCAAGCTGCTACCCCAAAGGGCAAGGTTATATGTTCTCCATTATTATTTTTTTTTACTTTATAGAAGATTTTGAATAAGATTGCACAAATAATCACCATCATGAGACTATGCGCTTATGATATGCATGGCATAACAGCAAGGTCGGGGCAGTAAAAGGTCAAATTACACATTCATGTACACTGCGGAAGGGGATTTAGCTGTCCTTCAGACTACCTTGAGTTTAATATGTCCAGCACAGGAACAAATATGTTTCAAATGTAGACGATTAAATCATTTTTCAGAACAATGTAAATTTGAATCTGTGCACGAGTTACATTATGAAGATGACACTGTGGATTGCGTGTATGAATTGGACGGCGAGAATGACCAGGAAGTCTTTGTTCACACGGTTAAGTCTTTTTTTCATCTTCTCCTGATCAAGTTTTTTGTAAATGTTTTGATTGGCACGCAAGATAAGTTTACAAATATAAATTGCAAAATTGATACAGGCTCACAAATAAATTGCCTCCCAAATCACATGTCTAGGGAACTGAAAATGAAACACGCTTTGGAAGCCTCCAAAAGAAAGATTAACTTTGTTCACAGCTGACCGATTACTAGTGGGTGGGAAATTATGGTTACACTGTAAATACAATAACAAATCAGTGTGTTCCGAATTTTATGTAGTTGAGAGTTCTGCTACCCCGCTGTTAAGCCTCAAAACATCTGTAGATTTAGATTTGTTAAGATTAACGTATTCGGTCAATAAGATTAAATCTATTGACGCATCTGACCATTGTAAGGACACTGTACGAAGAGAGTGCAAAGAATTGTTTCATGGGATAGGGTTATTCCCTGGAACATGTTCATTGTAATTGAAGGAAAATGTTGTTCCCGTTGTTTGTCCACCTAGACAAGTACCTTTTGAACTCAGACATAAGCTCAAAATAGAGCTTGACTCATTGGAGTCTAAACAAATTATTTGTAAGGTTACAGCACCTACAAACTGGGTAAATTCACTAGTATGTGTTACAAAATCTTCAACCGGTATGCTTAGAATCTGTCTTGACCCCAAAGTATTGAATGAAAATACACAAATGCCGTTTTATCCATAACGTTGTATTGACGACATTACGACAAAATTGCATGGCGCTTAAAACTTCAGTGTATTAGACGCGACCAAAGGTTACTGGTCAATTAAGTAAGACGACTACTCACCGTCACTCCCACCATTTAACACAGTATTTGGACGGAACAAATATTTAAGACTTCCTTTGGGCATAAGAAGTTCTCAAGACATTTTACAACGGAACATTAACTAGACATTTGAAGTTTACAGGGTGTGACGTCAACAATTGACGACTTATGGGTGTTTGGAAGCACACGCAGAAGCCTTAAGAACGTACTCGGCCGAGCAAAGGCAACCGGTTTACGATTTAACCCTGACAAACTGAAAATAGTTCTAACAGAGGTTAAATATTTCGGTCACGTGATCAGTTCTGATGGACTGAAACCTGACCCTGAAAACATTAGCGCAAATATCGAAACGAAAAATCCGGCAAATTGTGCTGAGCTTGAAACCCTGCTGGGTATGATTACATACTTGACAAAATTCTTACAAAATATCTCGGAGATAACTAGCCCGATGCGACAGTTATTACGCAAAGACGTAGACAAGTGATAACACAGGCAACTGTACTCAGTTACTATGATTCATCGAAGCCTTTTAGATTACAATTTGATGCTTCGTCCAAAGGCATTTGTGCTTGTTGTTTACAAAATGGTAAACCAATTGCATATACTTCGAAAACACTGACATTGACCGAGACAAGATACGCACAAATAGAAAAAGAGATGCTGGCAATATTATTTGGATGCACTAGATTTAAGCATTATGTTTACGGACGGCGCACGGTTGTCGAATCTGACTGTAATCCGATATATCTAGTATCTTTTATGAGAAAACCACTTTATACTGTCCCGCCTATGTTACAACGGATGCTATTACAACTTCAAGATTTTGACCCCGATGTCATTCACTGTAGAGGTAAAGATATTCCGCTTGAAAATGCTCATTGGGAATTACGTAACTGACACTTTTCCTAATCTTATTGACGGATTAGAAACACATGTACACACTGTACTGAAATCACTACCGATTAGTGATTTAAAATTGCAGGAAATTCAAACAGCAACGCAAAATGATGCTCAGTTACAAACGCTTATTAGTGTCATTTCTAACGGATGGCCTGACGTCAGACGAAAATGCTCTGAGAATGTATCAGAATACTGGAATCATAGAGACGAAATGGCTTTTGAAGACAATATTTTGTTCAAGGGTAAAAATAGTAATACCAAAATCTTTAAGACAGGACATGATTAACGCAGTACATGTGGGTCATTTTGGTGTAGAAAAACGACAAGATGGGCTAGGAATATAATGTTTTGGCCATCAATGTCAAAACAAATTACAGATTATGTACTTAAGTGTCAGATTTGGTGGAAATATAGAGACTCAAATAAAAGGAACCATACATCCTCATGACATACCCCAAAGACTATGGCAATAATTATCATATGCTTTATTTACGTGGAATAAGTGGATTTTATGGTTCTTGTTGACGCTTACAGTAGATATGTTGAGTTCGACCTATTGACTAGCACTTCCAGTACTTGTATTATAAGAAAACTTAAGGTACATCATAGCAGATTGGGTATCTGTGAGAAGTTAAAAACTGAAAATTGGACATACTTTTCTAGTGAACAATTTCAGAACTTCCTTAAACAATGTTGCATTAAACACGAAACTTCAAGTCCCACGAATGCAAGTTCAAATGGACTTAGTGAAATATATGTTAAAATTGCAAAACGCATTCTTCAGAAAA